GACCCGCAGGAGAGAAGGGTGATCCTGAAAAACCTTAATGCTATGTCTGTGTATGAAGCTTTCATGATGGTGAGCACGGTCGGTTGGAGCCTGAATGGGTCGAGGATTCACTTCGAAATCGAGCCATTTGGTCGGTATCATTATTTGTTAGGTGGAAACACAGAGTGATTTTTTTTTCCATCAGGTATTTAATTCAGAGTATGAATTCCTCCCTTCTCAGATGCCATGACCGTTGTGATGATTTTGACTGCGTCTGGTGTTGGACTCTCACTATTGGTCATTTTCACAGTCCTGACTTGTTTCCCCAAAAACAAAAGGTGAGCTCATGGTCACATTGTGAAGAAACTGTGAAGCTGTAACATGGTTAATTTACATTACATGTATTTTCTGTGCCTTTGTTTCCAGGCTGAAGGGGCAACTTTGGCCGAATGTTCCTGATCCTGCGAATAGCAGCATAAAGAGATGGACATCAGGGACATCGCAGGTACAAAAAATAAACCGTACACGTTAGTGAGAAGTGTGATGATAATTATCTTCTGACTCTGCTCGTTTAGATCCACTTTAAACTCACTGCTCAACGCCAAATGGCAGATAAAGTTAACCACTACATCATAGTTTAGCGTTTAGCAGCTAAAGTGCCACATAACTTTCCCTTAGGAGTCGGTGAAGACCAAAGCGAGTTAAAAGGAGACTGAAAAGTTTAGATGACTAGTGTGTACAGCTGTAATTGAGGTGCAGATCCTGGTATTGAGAACATGTGATTTTGCAGGTCAATCTCATCTGTCAATCATGAAGTGTCACCCAGTTTGTTCAGCATCAAATAACTGCCCCCATGTGGTCAGAAGAGTAATGTAATAACATGTAATATATGAGATGTAAGACACTCATGACCAACTTATTTCCATTGGCAGTATATACATCCTGCCTGGGACAGTGATGAGCCCAATCCAGTTTACCTGTCCCACCTCAGTTTCTTGGACCTCCCAATGAAACTAGGCAAACAAGAGGATGATTGGCTGAGCAGCGCAGAGGACACCAGTGACCTGGGAGAGTCCATTTGTGGTTCACCCTTCATCCCTGGATACTCGGGTTCAAACAGCGACTCTGTTCCCTATGCCATAGTGATCTTCTCTGACCCATGCAGCAGCCCTTCGTCCAAAGAGCCTCCCGTCTACCTGCGCTCTGAGTCCACACAGCCGCTCCTGGAGACCGAGGAGTCCTTCAGTCCAAAGTGCTACCAGAATATGGCGACTGATGGGACGCCAAGGGAGCAGTGTTTCTTTGGTCCAGGACACGATTGTGATGACCAAGAAGGGGTGGACCCAGTTACTATTTGGGACGACTTTCCTTTTCTGCGAGCATTAGCCATGAATGATACTCAAAATGACTAAAAGTTTTTTTTTTTCTGATGACAACAATTACTGCTTTTCCAGAGATTCATATTTTTGTAATCAGTAGAATGTGGTAGACTGATCCATAGTAGCATACAGCTGTGAATAAATGTTACGTAATGTTGAAAATTAAACTGATGTTGAATGATTATGAACTCCATGTTTTATCTTTACAACACTGTATATATCACCTCTTTTTCTTTCATTTTATAGCTTTACCTTTTCATTGAAACATGTCTAAAGTTCTCAAATCACCTCACATAGAATCCTTCGGCTAAACTCTGATGTTAGTTGTATATGTTTTTAACTATTTTTTACTCATATTTCAGTGTAACCTCAACTGCTCTATACCTCAATTTACGTGTGAGGGTTGGAGAACATTTATGTTAAACTGTGCCAATTTATTAAAATTCATTGATAAAAAGGTATTTGAGTTTTTCTTTGATTAAAAGATCACAAGATTTCTTAAAATGTACATTTATGAGCTTTTTGTTATTCTACATTGCTGCTAATTTTGTCTCCCAATTCCTGCACGTTGTTATTTCATGAGGATTAATTAATGTAAGTATAACAATTTTGTATTGTAAATGTATGTGCACATTTAACAGCCTGTTTTTTTGCCATAAATTAGTAAATTCTCAATGATATCTTTGGATTAATTTATATCAAAAACACATCTCAACCTGAAACCAAACAACCAAAAGCCTTTCAAACCTCTTCAAATAGAGTAAATATGAATAATTAGTTGTTTAGAAAACTCTCCTTAAATCTAAAATTCAGATAAAACTAAAAGGCAGCAAATCTACGTTTCCTGTTGTTTTAAAAAACTTTATAAAACTAAAATCTCTTAATCGATGTGTTCAGTGATCGATAGCGCAGCCTGGATCAACCTCGCTCCGCTCTGCACTCGGCTCCTCTAGTCTGGTCAAAATGGCGATCCTCATGTAGGGGTCGAGAAACACTAGCTCTGATATTTTCATCACCTCCAGAGATAAGTCGTCTCCCTCCTCACCTCTGCTGGGAGCCATGTTCACCAACGTAGCTCTGCGGACCGTCCTGAAATCCTCCGCCGGTGTTTTACGGGATGTTGGCTCCGCCGTCAAACCGTGGACCCGCAGCTCGGCCCTGATCGCAGCACCGGGAGGAGTCAGCGCCGGTGAGTCCGACTGAGACACGAGAAAACCGGCAGGAGCTGACCGGAGCAGCGGAGCTCACAGTTAGCTAACAGTTAAAAGATCACTGTGAGCTAACTGTTAGCCAACATATGTGAAAACACCGACCTGTTTACTGCCTCTCTGTCAACACGTAGCCAGGACACCACCAGTACCCTGCCATCAACAGTAGAGGACGCTGTGCTACATTCAGGCACAATAATGATTCTGGGAGTTTATCCCTGCGACGCCTTTTTCAGTGTTTACCCACCTGCAACAATCTGTTGTATAGCCAGTTGGTGTTTAACAGATGAGCTTACATGCAGCTGTTGTTGATCACTTGCATTAACGTCCTGCAAAACTGATGTGTACGCGAAATTCTGTCCCCTCACTACACATTAATATCTCTTTCCTTCTCTCTCTTCAGTTTCGGGAAGCTTTGCTCTTCCTCCACCAGTGAGACATTATGCTCGGGGTGCAAAGACAAAGAAGACAGGTATACGATGAGGCTGCATTGTCACTAAATCATGTTTTATACATTTTGAAATGTCAATTTTTCAACCATATATTTTGTGTATTCCAGTTCCTCAGAGCCAGCTCAGTGATCTTCCTCCAACGATGCTGAGGATGGACTATGCAGCCGTACCTCTCGCTCAAACGTACATACATACTGTTCCTCAATTAAAATTAGTCAAATTCAAATGTGGCTTTAAGCTTCGTTAAAAATCTGTCTTCACGTATTTTGTACAATAATCTGCTACTTTTCTAACACCAGTGTGTTTTCTGTTAACAGGACTGATGATGTTGTCAAGCGACTTCTTTCACTGGAGTTAGCGTGTCATGTGAGTTCTTAAATCTCAGCGGATTGATTTGCCATATTTTACCAGTTTTCTTTTTTGCTGCTGATTGATTTTCTTGAAAATCACACTGGCATTCTGCAGAGTAATTAACAGTAAAATTATTTACTTTGTGCTCAGAGTGACAAGCTACAACTGAAGAAGGAACAGCTGATTGCAAAAGTCCAGAGGGATGAGGGTGACCGCAACTCGGTGGAAGTTCAGGGTGAGTTACTTTGCTTCGGTGTTGCACAAAGTGTTTTCACTGAAATACAAAGATATTGTGTAATCTTTGTTAACTTTATTTTGAACAAATCATCTTTATACTGTGTGTTCCTTCAGTGGCTGTTTTGACAGCAAGAATCCGAAACTACCAGGAGCATTTGCAAACACATCACAAGGTTAGTGAAGGAGAACAATTCACACATTGTAGCATCCTCACCTTGCCTCTGGTGTCAAGTGTGTGTGAAGCACAGGATATCCTGTGTACTCCCCCACATTAAATAAAAACATGCGTCGCACAGTTATGGTTGGAAATTTCCACGTCATCTCACATCACACACCTTAGTTGTAACTGGTATACATGGGGAAGAGAGGTTGTGTAACTTTTGGACTGTTTCACTGTTATATTTGTAATTAAAATGTCCTCATTTCCTCCTATGTGGGCCTGTTTGAAGCCCATTTGAAAGATCCTCATTCTGTTGTGCCTTTTTTCACTCCAGGACAAAGCTAACAAAAGGCGGATGCTAATGGCCATTGACAGAAGGAAAAAGCTGTTGAAACGCCTTCGGCTGGTTCGATATGATGCCTTCGAGAAAGTGTGTGAGCAGCTGGGAATCACTTACACATTCCCTCCAGAGTATTATAGACGAGTCACTCGGCGCTGGCTGGCAAAGAAGGCCCTGTGCATTAAGGTAGCGGATAAATTATTATTATTCTTACATCTATATTTAGAATAGATGTAACTGAGTAACACGTTGACGGTGTTGGACCTCCCCTCACTCATCTGTGTGTCTCTTCACAGGTCTTTAAAGAAGTGCAGAAGCAGAAAGCACAGGAGAGACTGAAGATGAAGCAAAGTTTAGCCTCCACTGCAGCAGAGGCAGCCAAGACAAAAGCCACGACCCAATAAAAGATGTCAATCTACATTTAGCATAAATTTTATAGTATATCAAACTATAAATGAATGTGTATAAATATATCTTGACGCACATCTTTACTTTTACACCTTAAGTTAAGGTCATTTGACATCTGGATTAACGGCTTCCATGTTATCAAAATAAAATATAATGTGCTTATGTTTTCAAGTTGTGTGTTTTCTGAAAATGTCAGAATAAATGGGATAAAGTGAAAATTATATTTGTGTTTATTACTACAAAGCACATCACATCTTCAAGTCTAAGCTGTTTGGATAAAATAAATATTAACTCTTCTCTAACCAACGGCAGCAGTGACACATTTTGATTAAACCTGCGTCTTAGTGACAAAGGATGTGATGTACTTGTGGTTGTTCTGTGGAAGTTTTTTGTGAGATATTCTGATGTTCATGAGCTGTCTGATCTTTACTGATTGCAAGATCTACATTGAGATCCAGCCTCTTATAAGAGACGTGCAAGTGGATCTGCAGCTGTTGAATATTATACCCACTATCTGATACCTCAAAGCAAAGCAGCAACTCATTTATGGTATATGTTTGCCAGATAATCACCACAATCTTTGACATCAACAGACAAGTTGTTGGCTAAACTGAATTTCACAGCTCAGACTCGTCATGGTTTCCTGTGTGGTGGGCAGTTTCTCAGTTTGATCAAGTGCAGCACACAACGACAGACTTCTGGTAAGTGATACGTCTTTTTCCTCTCGCAGTACATTCACTTTTAATTTAGTTTAAATGACATCCATCCATGCTCAAACATATTTCTATAAGGTTCACTTGTATTTTAAAAGTTGTGGATTCACGTTTAAATTCCTTATGTTAGCATTTATACAAAATAACATGGGCCCTTGTATGGTTTTTCACTTTCGGTTAATTTATAGCTTTCATAGTGGAAATGTATGTTCACCATAGTAAGCAATACTTTTATATACAGATAAAATGATCTTTACTTCTGACTTAATAAAGATAAAAAAGATCCAATTTATGTTTTTATGTTAGAATTTTAAAATTAGAAATATCTGAGCAACATTAGCGAATAAGAAGCTGAACTGTTGCACAGTGATTGTGTTAATTCGTGTCTAAATCCCAAAAATTCATAGTATTGCATATGACCTAATGTAATATAGAACTTGGAAAGACTGTTATGCTTTATCTCTTCTGAAGCTCTTCTACCTTGTTCTATTCCAATACTAACACTAATATGTTCGTCACTAGGCAGCTGAATCAAAATCTACCTGCAGATCCAATAAACAAAAATGTCAAACCCACCGGTCACCCATCAACCAGGTGCAGGCGGCTATGGGACAAATGTCCAGACTGGAGAGTGGAGCACAGGCCTTTGCTCCTTCTGCAGTGACTTTCTTGTCTGTGAGTACAAATCCAAGATGAGCCGTTTTGACATAATTTATTTTCTTTCCATACACCAAAGACAAGGTTGGAATCACTTTTGAGACACAGAAACTTTTCTCCTCACATACTCAGTATATATTTCTATTGTGCAGGTGCTCTTGGCTGCGTGTGTCCTGTTGCCCTGGGCTGCTACACTGCAGATAAGTATGGAGAAAACTGTTGCCTGGGTTGTTTGCCAGGAGGATTGACCGCCATGAGGACTCATATGAGACTGACCTATGGTATTCAGGTATGTCATTCTTTTAGAAACAACTTAATAATTTTTGGGAGATAAGCTTTGGTTTCATGCAGAAGAAGTGATTTCAGTAACCCAGCTCTTATGAAAGACAGGGATTTCATGAACTCAGGAAATGTTGGGTGTTCCTTGAGATTGACAAACCTGAATTGCAGCATGTTTTGTAATAGAGGGTTGACACTTATGGTGTGATTTTTCCTTTTTTCACAATCTTTGAACCATAGGGAACCGTATGCAACGATGCCTTGATGTCTTGTTTCTGTGGACTTTGTGAGCTGTGCAGGATGGCGCGAGAAATTCGTATCAGGAATGGAGAAGTCTCACAGTAACCAGACGCAGAGGATTCTGGGCTGCTTGACAGTATTCCTATTTGTCACTGTTCCCCTGCTGCTGTGGATGCAATGTGTTTATTTCTGTAGCTTTTATGCAAATAACAAATGCAAAGCAATTAATGAAATGCATTTTAAAGTGTCAAATGGATTTTTACCTTTAGCTTTATACTCAAGTCTAGTCAAGTCAACATTATTATCAATAATGTCATATGTGCAGGACACACAGAGAATTGAAATAGCGTTTCCTCTTATCCCCAGTGCAAACAGCATTAAACATGAAATATAAAAAATATAAGTAATTAAAAGATATAAACAGGCAGTGGCAGATCTAGACAATATAAAGAGTATAAATATGGCGGGATGAACAGAATGAACTGTATAAATATAAACAGAATTATCTGTTTATATTTATACCATTCATTCTGTTCTGTGTGTCTGTGTAACATTGTAACTATTTTGCATCAGTGTAAATAAATTACATTGTTCACTCTATTTGTTTCATGTATTTTTTAATATGGGAATTGTATTAAAGTTCAGATGTGCCATTACTCTAAAAAAAAAAACATGTCCTTGACTAATATGGTTTTTATTTAAGTCCCACACCTTTTCTGACTCCAGCTCCAGATGTTTGTTGTATTGTATTGTAAGATATTACATTATGTTGTCAATATTATATTGTTTTGTATTTTATTGGATATATTATATTATATTATATCATAGTATATTATGTTATGTTATGTTATGTTATGTTATGTTATATTATATTATATTATATTATATTATATTATATTATATTATATTATATTATAAACTGGCTGCAACTTTTACATCCGTCGGACTCCTCCCTCTTTATGTACGTCATTACGCACAATGCTGTGATTGGCTGTTGTGTTCGTGGCCTGGCAACCAGAGGAGGCTTTAATAAACAGATCCCAGCAGCAGAAGCTAGCCGAGCTAGCTGGGTCTTTAGCGCCTTCTGTTTTTCTGGAGACATCCAATCATCCACCATGTCTTCACGGACTCTGCCGCTGCTCTTCATCAACCTCGGCGGGGAGATGCTGTACATCCTGGACCAGCGGCTCCGAGCCCAGAACATCCCCGCGGACAAAGCTAAGAAAGGTAGCTAGCTTTTAGCAGCTAACCAGCCGACAACAAGTGCCATCATCCTGCAACGTTATAATGCGACAACTGCACGTTCAGTCCGTGTGTTCTCAAATAAACACGTAAAGACAACATGTGGTTAACTTTGGTAAATCCTCATGTTTTTATAAAGTCTTAACTCACACAGACATCAGGTTATTTAGAATGAGACAATTGCACCTGAACAAATCTGTAATTATAATTCCCAGTGGTTCATCGTCAGTAAATGGGGGGGGGGGGTGTCACTTGGATCAGAATCTGAAGATATTTAGACCCTAAAACATTTGGACACAGCTGTATTTACACTTTATGAATAGGATCATATAAGTCATATACTGTATGAAGAGAATTTTCGCATACAACCACATTATATGACGTCCTCTGATGTTTTCAGGATATTATTAAATGTACTATTTCTTTTTAATTCATAAAGTTTCCACAATAGTTGGCTGGATAGAGGATGACAGAAGGAGAGGTATTTTTACACAGCTTCAGTACAGTCATGCACTTACTAGCTTTTCTCTCTGCTTTGGCCCAGACTGAAACAGCCTGCTCCGTACATGATGGGACTCGATAAATGAGCACACTCAAAGTTGGCTCTTAAATGAGGTATTCTGGTTCTCTGTATTCACTGATGCATCCTGAAGTGGTCGGAGCGCAAACATGCTCAAGTTCCGGCCACAAATATTTTTGGCTTTGAACAGTCATAGGGACTTTTTTTTTAGAAGCAGATCGATATCTGTAAATTATACCAATGTTGTTAAGATGACACACTAATAAGCTGGCCCATGTGTTGCATGTCACAAACCATGCTACATGTCATAAGAACATGCAAATTGCACGTGTTCTTCCATATATATCAAGAAGCTTTGAGTCACCATACTACACAGAATTCATTACCCAGCCTCGTTGCATTAACGTAGTTTGTTTGCTTCACTCTGGATCAGATCAGATGGAGCAGATCTTTCTGTCAGATGCAACAGTAATTGACAGAAAGGCTCGCAACACATGAAAAAACATCCGAGTGGAGTCCAAACATTACCAAGCGGTGGGCCTGCTACCAAGTAGAATACATGCTTATGGCTTTCCACGCTGCTGCTTTGTTGGGGCCTTTGGGATTAGGCTTTGGATGAAAGGGTTTCGGCCAACGTGCAGTGTAGTATAGAAAGCTCATTTGCTTGCCTCTGAGCCTCCAGTGTGGAAAGATCATTTGTCTACCCTCAGTTAACCCTTGTTGACTTTTCTGTTTGTACTGTTTGCCTCACTAGTTATGAATGACATCATCACTACCATGTTCAACAAAAAGTTCCTGGAGGAGCTTTTCAAGCCGCAGGAGCTTTACTCCAAGAAGGCCCTGCGGACTGTGTTTGACAGGCTGGCCCACGCATCCATCATGAGACTCAATCAAGCTAGCATGGACAAGGTAGAGGATGGATATTAATAACCAGTTGTATTTAGTATTTTTATGTTTCTTTTTTATATATTGAATTTACACTTCAACACACAAACTTCGTCCACACATCAATCATGTTCTGTCATCAACAGCACAGTGTTCCCAGGTTGTGTTACAGCTTCTTCTGTACAGGAGCTCCATTTTAAAATCAAACAAGCTTTGGGTATACGTGGCATAAATCTACACATCAATCAGTGTGTATATATCTAACACACTGTATGTGGCTCCCCCTGTTGGCTCCCCCTGTTGTTAATTTTACACCAGCAGACTCAGTTTATGGATTTATGAATACATATTAAGTCATGCTTGTGTTGCTCATTACAGCTCTATGACTTGATGACCATGGCCTTCAAGTACCAGGTGCTGCTATGTCCCCGACCGAAGGACATCCTCTTAGTGTCCTTCAACCACATGGATGCCATCAAGGACTTTGTGAAAGACACTCCCAGCATCCTCAGCCAGGTGGATGAGACATATCAGCAGCTCATAGAGGTAAACTACATGTTAATTCACTGTCTTTAGTGGTAACAACATTACACATTATGCACATTTCAGCGCTGCATGTGAACTAGGTCAAATGATGAAAGATATAGAATGCAGAAATGCGCCAAATACAAACTATACATAACTATACAAAGAGGAACAGCGAAGAGAGTGAAACCTGACTACGAGTTTATGTCCATCTCTTAAGTACTCCTCTTTTCACCACCCCACATGTTCTTCTGTTTGTTTTTACTTTTTAGATCTATACGCCCATGTGTAGCGGTGAATTCCAGCTGATTAGACAAACTCTTCTAATCTTCTTCCAAGACATGCACATAAGGGTAAGTCCATAATTTGAATCAAAGGGAGGGTACTTTTTTAGTGTTTTATTTAAATTTTCTCACACACTTTTTGCCACGTATCCTGTTCTATTCCAGGTGTCCATTTTCCTTAAGGACAAAGTACAGAACTCTAATGGCCGCTTTGCACTTCCCATCAGTGGTCCTGTGCCTCATGGAACACATGTCCCAGGCTTGATAAGGTACCACTGTAAACAGCACTTATCCCCCGCGGCCAAACAATCTTGACTCTAAAGGCTGATAGAGATAGTGAGATTAAACATGTGGACTTAAGTGAAGACACGTTACTGTTTTGTCTTTCATACATGTCTTCTCTGATTGTATCCAGACTGTGTACTCTAATTTTAAGTAGGCCCGTCTGCAGCTAATTGCATTACACAGGTTTTATCTAACAAGCATTTACATTCTAATTTTAGATGTCATGTACATTTAGCTTGTAATGAGTTACTCAAGTATTGTATGTCAGTGAAACATACAGGACATAGAGAAAGCAAGAACACACATGTTCATTAGAGCATCCTGGCTTTGACACTGTTAAAGTATTTTAAGTTTTTGTTTCTGGTATTTCCAGGATGTTTAGCTGCACAGGGGAAGAAGTCAACAGGCTGCAGTTCACTAATGGAGGAAACTACACCGCTGCTACCCGGGAAGGATCTTTTGAGATATTTGGAGACAGGGTCACCAAACTAGGCACAAACATGTAAGACTTTGTGCAGTGAGAGTTATTTATTTAATGGTTATCTTGCAATGGGTCTCCAGTAATCCATCATGTGTTTTCAATTCTAAAGAGTGTATTTTCTGCGGATTATACCTGTATCGATTGTTGACAGAAAGGATTACAGGAAATGAGTCAACAAACAGATGTGGAACAACATACAATCACACAGTGATGTCACAGTTCACAGCCAATATTTGAACCTTTTGGTCGGGGAGTCCTCAGCATTTAAATTATGTGGTTTTACATTAGATATTTATAGAGACTACATCAAGGAAGGTGCAGTGTGGGGAAGTTATCATCACTAGAGCTGTAGAGCTGCTTAAGTCTCTTGGGATGAGTGACTTTGTATAAGATTAAACCAGTCAGCCTATTAGCACTTGACATAGCTTCTAATTTATACAATGATAATCTAGATAGAGTTTTAATGAAGTACATGGATGACACAATGAAAAATAACGATATAAATTACATTTGTTCTACTTTTGCAGATTATATTTGACACTGCTGACATGCATGTTGAATCCATGTGTCTCATCTGTTCATTCAGGTACAGTGTCAGCCGCCCAGTGGAAACCCACATGTCAGGAACATCCAAGAATTCTGCTCAGCACACTAAGGTAAAACTGGTTTACTGAAAACAAGCACGATTAAGCTTTTCTAATACATAGGTTAAATTTTCAAGGTAAATGTAGTGATCCTGGTCCAGAACCATCTACTCTACTTCCTGTTGCACCATCAACAAGAGCAGGATCTTGTTAACAACATATACAAAAGTAAACAATCCACAATGTTTCAACAGGTCAATGCTGCTCCCAACCCTCTGGCCAAAGAGGAGCTGAATCTGTTGGCCAAATTAATGGGAAGGTTGGACGTTCAGAAACCAGGAAACACAGACAGCGGTTTCCGAGTCAACCTCTTTGCCACAGATGAGGAAGAAGAGTGAGTCCTTTTATTTTTGTGTGTGTTGTTTGACACATGGTCAAATTAAATCTTTCTTCTTGTGTAAGAATATATTTGAATTACTCAAAACTGACATTGTGAATCTCCTTTATACCAGAGAGGCGTTAATATCAAGACCAGATGAGCTTTCTTATGGAGTCATAAACATCCAAGCAACAAAGGTAAAGCTTACTTATGTAACAAACTTTTAATTTCTTCAGAAAATGATTGGATGTCTACTAAATGTGGAAAACTGTTATTGCACATTTAGTGACAAAAGGTCTGAACATACATGTCATCCAAGGACAAGTGCTCAACCCACAACATTCCTTTTGGCCCAGACTGTTGTCATTTTGATGTGAGGGTGTACAAACAGTTTCCCTGTCCCCATCTCTGTCCTCTTTGTAGCCATGTCTTTTTTCTTTCCTTTTCCCAGCCCCCACCATAATTGAATCAAATGTGTTTAAATACTAAAACAGAGACTGTATCAGTTCACAGCTGTCAGGACATAGCGCGGAACTGCTCATACTATAGAATCCATCATGACGGGCACAAGTGCAGATTTGATAAAGACATACTTTATAACCTCCATCATCAAACTCCACGGCCAAATGTTGCTTATCACATTGCTAGACTTAAGTCATAGAGTCAATGCTCAGATACGTGAGGGTTTGCTAGTCTCATAAGATTTACTGTAATGAGGCTTAAGTGTCTGTGATGTCCACTCTAACCTTGTGATTGGTGGACAACCTTGTCTTTCAGGACCAACAGGCCAATGCTGAGCTGGTCAGGATCATGGGAGAGTTCACGGTATCTGGAGATCAGTCTCCCAGCGCCAGCAGCAAAGGAGATGACCTTCTGGCCATGATGGACGGTCTGTGACACGTCACCTAGGCAGAACTGCCCAGGGGACAGAGAATAATGCATTGCTGGCTGTCTGCTCTTCTGTAGACCAGTCTACTGTCCCAGCCTGCACCAACACCACAGGAACCTCACGCAGCCAGAAAAACCTTCTTGTTTGGGCGGTTTTAAAATGTAGGTCTGAGGTGTGTCAAGCTACTGTCTATGATCCACAGCTAATTTGCATAGATAACCTAGCAGAGCATTCAATTGAGAGCATACCTCCACCAAGGGCCCTATCTCGCAATGTTAAGAAAGGGATTAAAAACTCCTTCCTCCAAACCTTTGTCCAGATCCAAAACTTTCAGCGGTTGAAAAAAGGCCCCCTCCCTCATGAACATTTTTGAATTTTATCAATCCACATTAAATTGCACACATTTGTAGTGTGTCCCCTAAATATGTCTTTTTCCTGGACAGTCTTTGAAAAACTTAAAAACGCCCAATGTTGCAATGCTAAAGAAAGTGATACTTGGAACCGACCTTTGTCCAGATCCACAACAAAATTAAATTGTTTCTGTCTTGGCCCGTTGTTAAATTTGTGTATGTGGAATAACATTCTTTAAAATCCGCTGCTGTATATGCAAAATACATATTCCATTCATTTTACTTACGGTCATGTATTAAATGATTTTCAGGATTATAGTCCGTAAATCAGATTTTTATTACACTGTAAAGAAGAAGTTTGTTTACTTCTGCTGTATTCTCATGATGAAATGATGATGTGGGGGAAGAGGAAACCCAAGTGCTCTTTATATTATGCTTTGAATTCCCTCCAAACTTTATTTTGATAAGAAATATATTTATGTAACATCATGCTGTCCTACCTTAAAATGGTAAGAGAAGCAACTTGTAAGATATGTTCCACTATTGTGTGATGTCTCTGAATGTTCAGATATGGCCCAGAAATGGGTTCATTGGTGGGTTATTGATTATAATAGAGAAAAATGCAATATAAAGAACAGTGTAAGGTGTAAATATGTTAATTGCATACTATTTATTTCAGTGTATCATTTTCATTTTGCATAGAGGAGTGCATATTGCTGCAACTGTCAAATTGTTGAATGTGCAATATTGGATGTTTAATAAATTGTTGAATAAATGTATCGGACTGGTACGGATGCCACACAGCGTTAAAAATGGCACAAACACTTTAACAGCTTGTTGTAGTTGATGAACTCTAACAGTTGGGGGAGCTGTCAAACCTTTCTAAAAATGAATGTGTTGTAACTGACTAACATTCACAACAATCACAGAATCTTTCTTAATAAGGTCATAGATGTGCTCAACTTTAAAAGGTTTATTTATTTTATCTCTAATCCACCTTTGAAAGTGTTGGACTCTGACATGTGAATAAACAAATGTGTGATTGATTATATTTATTTATTCTGTAAGCACATGCTCAACCACCAAACCAGATCATTATAAGCCATCTGCTTGAATGCCTTCCACAATTAGACTTCTCTGATTCTCCCGCAGATCTACAATGGGAATTGCTATAGCAACAGATATCTATCTGTATGCAGGATCATGTGTGAAGTCTGCCTGCATGTGCGTGTCAAAGTGAGGATGACAGTCTGCACTTCCCTAACCACGCACACATTCAAACAAGGTGCATTCCACACAGGTAAAACATGCTGAGACATTTCTCTGAATTGATCTGGGGGAGGAGGATTCTGGTGAGGTCTTCCCAATAATTTTGGCAAAGGAATGAAAAGAAATACAACAGCATGTGCCTCAAGGATACTCCCTCCCAGCAAAACAAACAGAAACCAAAGCTTGTCATCCTTCAAGACTGTGCACTGAGGTCACCTGAGCTCACAAGGAAATTAACTTTTCCTGTAAAGATTTGCAAGATTGCCTATGAATTTGTCTACCTGGATTATTATTGAATGACAAAGTGAAAAAAAACCCACAAAAATGTGATTTCTAAGATAATAGTCTGATATTGTTTCCTGTTTAAAGTTTAAAAAGTGCTACAACCTTGCTCCGATGTGCCAAAATTAATATTTGAAAAAATGACTAAAAGACTACAAACGTAAAGTCATTAAAGTTCAGTCAACTTCCTGAAACATGTCTGAGGAGCATCTGAAACCTTTTTCTCCTACAGACCCAGCATTTGGAGTTATGATTCAGTTTCCTCTGAGTAGGACTGTGGGCAGGACACTGTAAAGCCACAGGCTGACAACCGTTTCATGTGGCTGGGGACATGTGCTCTGCTGAGTCAATGCAGGAAGACGAGAGCAACTCACATAACCCTCTGCCATTTAGGTTGGCCTCTCTGTCTATCACACCTGCCCACTTGTTTGAAAACTGGTAACAGTGGGTGGAATTTTTAAGGTTAATCAAGGAGTCTAAACTGAGAACACAGGTGCGCTTCACTAAACGTTATTCAAAACTATACATGCTGACTAAACGAGTGAGGAGTTAACTTTCTTGGTGAGCTGAATCAGTGGTTGTGTGTTTAAAATGACACCCTGGTGGATTTCAAGTCTAATTTATTGAAAAGTAAATGATATTATCAGGTTCAATTCATTTGACTTTCTCAAAGGATTTTTGCCACAGAGCAATACATTTATAAAATATAAATAAAGGAGAAAAGAACTTAAACTTAAAATAAATTCCAGAGAGTGAATCCTGATTGAACTCAGTGATACATGGTTTCACAGAATCATATTGATCACCTGAATATAAAAATGACTTCAGTAGATCCTTGTATGAACTAAAGTTTTGTCAGTCAGCACTCTATATGTGCACAGAAATAGTCAGACACGTGGCAGGTGAATGTCATGGTTTCCATTAATAGAAATGACTTCACTTTGGTTGATATGGACAGCACCTCCATTTGAAATTTAATGAAGACTATTCAAGGACTTATTCAATTTGCAGAAGACGCCCCAAACTCGTGAAACAGTTTACCACTCCACCTAAGCTCTCTCTCGCAAGCTTCAAATCATTGTTTAAAAACACATCTCTTCTCTTTGGCATTCTTTTCGAGTTGAGAACATTTTTATCCCTGCAGATTTTATTCTATTTTATTTTATTTTTATCACTGGTATTTTTATGTATTGCGTGTTGCTGTTTTCTTGTTGTACCTTTTACTTTGTGGAGCACTTTGGTCAACCAAGTTGTTTTAAATGTGCTATATAAGTGAAATTGACATTAAATAAATAGTCAATAAATAATGAGACATTTTTGGTTTTCTTCTGTCTGGATGTATTGTTATAAAAACATTGCTGTATAAATATGTTTGTGTTCGATGTTGTCTGAACTCAGGACATATTAGATAGTTCAAATTAGTTCGTTTGCATCTTCATACTAAATGTAAAAAGTTGTGTTCTTTCCTTATTATTATTATTTCTTAGTTCGGATTATTTCATGTACATGACACAATGAATAATAAATGATCTATGAT